AACGAATTTACTGTATTCTGCCGATATATGCATTGTTCTTACACATATACACAGTCAGTTAGCTTGATTTGAACGTATTATTGGCATTACTATTAGCAAATAAAACTGACATTATTGACGTCTAAATATCAACAAATATGCCGTTTGAAAAAGCACACCATTTATTGGGTTGTGCTATTTAGATAACATGTCAACGACGCCCATGATCATGCCAGGGGTTTAAGGAAATGAGAAATGTTTTAGCAATTACAACACTTGACAATGCCTGCTCGTCACGATTATTATTAAAACAAAGATTATTTATCAGGAGTCAGCTGATAAAGCCAACATAAAATTTGAACCTATATTTAACCCATGATGACGATTGCTGAACGTTCGAGAATACTGTGTCTCTGACAGCCTATTATAGGCATCGCCCACAAAGGAGATCGAATAATGACCAGCCGAAGTTATCATGGAAGACTACGACCGAAAAACGAGCCTCTGTACTCTGACCCATACGCCTGGAATTATTAACGAAGAAAATATAATTACTTATTCTTAACTCGTTTTTGAACTGGTGTTGCCATAGCGACCTTAAGTTTGCATATTCGGTTCACAAGTTGTTGCACTATTGTTTGGAATCAACAACTTACATATTTAGGGTAGAGATTATAAACATAGGTAGAGATTATAAACATATATGACAGAAATTTGGTAAAAATATTGTTTATTTATTAAGTTGTCGCAACTTTGTAAGGCTTTTATCTTGAGACACATGACTGGTAATCACGTAATCGTGGTAGCGACTGTAGCAATTGGCTGTTCGCACGTTTATTCTACTACACCTCAGAGACTTTTAGGGTAGAGAGAGTAGGTAATTCTTCTGATAACAAGATAAACGAGAGAAGTGGACAGCGAGGGGTTATCAAAGATGGCTGTTTGGAATAATAAAGCTGGACAATCTGTAATGAAGTGATGCGTGTTCTTTCTGGTTTATTAAAGGATATGGATTTAAAACAATGTACAGGGTGCAACACATAGGCTGGGTTGCACATTTGATTTAGTTATCACTAGGGTTTCTGAAAAGATTATGAGTGGCAAGCCAACTATTGGGACCATGCGGCAGTTATTTCATACATGAACTTGTAAAAAAAAAAGAAAACTCAATGGCATCACTACGGAGATGTTTAGGAGGGAGGTGTCCAAGTTGCTTATTGTTTCCACAGATATGGATATCAATAATATGGTGTTCACATAATGAAACAATGGGTAAAATAATTGATCATTTTGCTCCTCTAATTAGTAGAAGTGTCCAGTCGCGAGGCAAGGGTATGGTTCAATTCAACTATGACGAATATGAACATTGAAAAACGTAAGTTAGAGAGAAAATGGCGCCACAGGAGAGCAGTTGGATTATGATAATTTCAATGCTATGAGGTTGAACACGAATTGTTTTATGTGGAAATGTAAGCGCGAGTTTTTTTTTGGGTCTCATTAACGAACATGAAAGTGTTTAAAGAAATAAATACCTGACTCTTGTTCACCTTTAGAATTGGCATGTCATTTCAATGAATATTTCATTAACAAGATTAATGTAATAAGGTCCAATTTTAGTGACACTACTGTTCCTATCAATTCGATTCATCAGGTTGACCATGTTTTAAAGAAATTTGAATTACTATCGGAAGATGATGTTTTAAATCTTATTAAGGCATCACCCAGCAAGTCATGTGACCTAGACCCCCTTCCCACACGAGTGTTAAAAACAGTGTATTGACGAGATTGGTTGCTATACAAAATGTATTGTTAATTCCTTACTATATAATGGTGTCTTCCCATCAAAGTTAAAAGAAGCTATTGTTAAAAAAACAAGGCCTTGACTTGGCTTACAGTAACTATCGACCAGTATCAAATGTTTCATTTGTCTCAAAAATAATTGAAAAAGCTGTTTTTATTCAAGTACTGTCACATATTAAGATAAATTCACTGGCGGGAAAATTCCAGTCAGCATATAAAATGTTTTAATAGTACAGGGACTGCCTTACTCAAAGTACAAAATGATATTTTAATGTCCATGGAAAGAAAAAAATGTTTGTGTTTTAGTATTTTTAGATTTGAGCAGCATTTGACACTGACTTGAACAATGTTTCGTTATTTCGGGAGGGTCTTGGCTTGGTTTAGATCATATTTAACGAGTATGTAGCAGTGTGTAGCAGTGTGTTTCAATAAAGTGTTTAACATCCCCAATGGAAAATGTTAAAATATGATGTTTCTCAGGAGTCGGTGCTCGGGCCGCTTTTGTTTAAGCATGTATACTTTTTCATTTGGTAGTATTATAGAACATCATGGACTATCATGTAACCTCTATGCCGATGATACCCAATTATACATATCATTTCAATCAAACTCAGTACATGATTGTGACTTAGCTATGACTACAGGAACGTGTAAGTGAACTGAAAGATTGGATGCACTGAAATAAACTAAAACTTAAATTTCGAGAAAACAGATGTTTTAGTATTTGGCATGCCTCTGCAAATTAAGAAATTAAATTTGATTTCCCTCAAAGTAGATATTTAATTTCTGTCAAAATATTGCAAATCACGTTAGTCAGGTAACAAGATCATCAGGTTATCATCTGTATAGGATTTCCCAGATCAGAAAACAATATGAACAAAAACTACCGAGATTATTGTTCATACTCTTGTGGGATCAAGGCTTGATTACTGCAATAGTTTATTATATGGTATAACGAATGTCCAGTTATCTAAATTGCAGAGGGTACGGGATGCAGCAGCTAGGATTGTTTTGAAGAAAAATAAATATGACCATAATACACCTGTTTTCATTTCTCTCCACTGGTTTCCAGTAAAGGATTGTATTGTATATATATTATTGCTGTTGGTATACAACGCCCTCAAAGGCCAGTCTCCCGAATATATTACCGAAATGTTCCATCCACACGTGACACTTTTGTATACACTCAGGTCATCTTCAAACTTACTTACTGTATCATTTTAAGGTTTAGTAACATGTGGTGATAGGGCATTTGCTGTATGTCGAAATGGTATCTATACATGTAAGTGTTATCAGCGAAGTAAATGACAGTTTCCCGAAAACAAGGCTGTTTTCACTACACTAGATTAACTCTCTCAAGTTGTGTTTGCCACTCCCATTCTGCCGTATTTATCGGGTGCGATACAATTATACATTTTAGCAAAAGATTATTGATAATAACAAAATAAAAGCAGAGAGAAAACACGTACAATGAAATATTCGTACATTAATGCAGCCCACCAAAGAGAAACAACAATTATCTAACATTTTTTTTTAAACCAATGTGTCGCGACACTCATGGAGGAACGTATCTCAATGATTTAACTATTCCGAGTTGCGTAACGTCTCACCAACTACCAGTATGCCCTTACTTGTATTCGTATTTTAAACCTAAGTAGCTAAGACAACCAAGAAGTAGTGAACAGTAAAGCATTCGGATGTCAGGTTTGTCTTGTGAATAAATATATTCATATTAAAAAATCTATACATGCCATAGCCTCCTCGATTATATTTGGCAGAAACCTTTGTACAAAGCAAACAAACGACAAAGAATAGACAAAGAAAATATGTATATTAGCTTTTGAACTGTAATATGATCAATAATATAATTACTTTATAAATATTTGCTATAGATATGCATTTGATTGTACC